CACGAACACAGTAATATCATACAATCAATAATGCCAAGTGCAGATAACATTACAAGCTCGAATTCTGAACCCTGAACCAGAAGTTCTGGGTTCTTTTCCCTGGCAGGCAGAGTCACCAGAGCTATCACACCTCCTTTTTTTCCAAGAGATAGGGGAGTTTTTCTAATTAAAGTGATATTATTCGAAATGAAATTATTTATTTAATTAGAGTCGCCACTTGGAATAATTATTATGGTGTCCCAAGTCACCGATTTATTTTAAAATCTCAAATCGAGGAAATTGACTTTATTTATGATCTGCGAACATAGAAGACCGGGTAAGGAATTCTTTTAATCCGGAAAAAGGTATTAGGCATTCCCGGATTTCGTAGTTTTAGCACGGTCGGTTTAATCATACATAGCTTATTTAATTACGTATTTTAAAACCTACGTGTATTTTACCTTTTACCCGCTTTTAATTATGGCGATATGTAATTATCTTTTGAAACGAATCACGTGTATGTGAATCCGTTTATTTGGTGTGCTAAAAATCATGTCACGCGTACGTATACACAATTAATAATATCTTATTAATTATTAAGATTGTTTGGTCAAAGTCGCGCAAACGCGTACTTTGATTTATTTTGAGAATCGTAATTATGTTACGCGAACGTATATATAATCACGAAGATTTGATTAATTAAGAGGGTGCCTAAAGTATTCTAACGCATTCAAGAGTTATGCTCCTAAACTACTTTGAGATTAATGTAAAGTCACGTGGAGAAGTATGGAATTTAATTACTAAGATTATTTACAAAATGAATTACTCTACTAAGTTATAAAGTATTTGCAATTAATCATTATGGGAGAAACATGAGTTAGCTTATGAATTTTATTATCATGGGCCTAACAAAATCTTATTATTTGGCCCAAATCTAATTTGTCTTATATTTAAAGCAACATCTACATCTAGCTAAATTATACGGCCCATTATATCAAGATATCCCTATGGCCCACTTGAATAAAACCAATAAAACAGTCAAACCCAAATCAATTCAATTCTACACTAACGAATTCATCACTCAAAACAAAACTAATTAATCTTCAATTCAACACTAAATATTAACAATGCTGAAACATACAACAATATGACAAAGTAAAGGCAACAGGAAGGAAGCCAATCGGGCAAATTAAGGCAGCACATATTTGATGGCTGAATAAAGTAACAAACTTAAAAAATAAAAATGCAGAAAATAATAAAGGGAAATGAACCTTTTTTTTATTAGCTTTCAATATTCGCAAGAGCTTCCAGTCAGTATACAAGGAAAGGCACGCCGACGAAGTTAGAAGCAAACAGACCCGCCACCCGAAGACCGCGCCGGAACCTCGAAACTCGCCTGAAAAACTCGTCGGAAAACCTCGACTCGAAACATAACCATGAGACGAACTCGACTTGGAAAAAATGCCGCTATTTATGTGAAAAAGAGGGACTACTTTAAGGTGTTTTAGAGATGGTCTTGGAGTGCTTTTGGGGACTGTTTTGGGGTTATTTCAGTGGCTATTTAGGCTGCATCTTTTGGGCTGGTTTGGAGGTGTTTTGGAGGCTGATTTTTTGGTGCATTTCAATGGCAGATTTCAGCTGAGTTCCGAAGCTAAAAGGGTGGTGTAGCTAAGGTGTTTTCATGGAGTTTTAGGACTGTTTTTCATGGAGTTTTTCATGATGTTTAAGGGTGTTTGAGGTGGTGGAGAAGATGGCTGGTTTTAGAAGGTAAAATAGGTTGAAAAAGAAGAGATGTGTAGCTCAGCAGCTGCTGCTCTATTTTTTTCGTCAGGTGCTCCCATTTTTTTCGTCTTCTATTCCCCCTCTCTAGGTGTTCTAGGTGTTATGTGGGTGAGGTTATATGGAGATGACTTGGTGGGCAAGAAAACCCAAAGAGTGTGTGTGCTGTGATGAAATATTTCAGTTAGTGAGCATGTGAGGTTGGCTAGAGAAAGATAAGGAAGAATTTTGTCACATAAAAATAAATCATTGGCTCTTGCTTTAATTATTATTATTTTTTTAAGAGTATAAAATGAAAATATTAGCTAAATATTTTAAAATCAAGAACATATAAATAAAGTCATTAAAGAAGAATTACAAAGTCGCTGCTACAAAGTTTAAAAGAAATCTTTTTGTGAATTTTCTTCTTTTTTTTTTTATAAACGAAAACAAAATATTTACTTCTAAAAAATAACTTTTTTTGTGATTTCTAATTTTCTTAAATAAAACCTATAAAGGTGAAATAAGAACTAAAATATATGGATTAAACTTTAAAATATTTATATACTAAAGAAAATGGTAAAAAAAAATTTAAATATGCTCAAAAATTAGGTGTTCACAGTATACATTTATTGTAACAAAAAAGGAAACTATGCATGTGGACTCTCCAAAACAGGATGCAAAAGTTGGCATACAAGGAGAGCATTTAAATGAGGAGAAGGAGACTATGCATTTGCAATTTCCCATTCAACAAGCAAATGCTATATAACAAGGAGACGATTGCAATGAAGATTTCAGTGGTATTATATGTTACAATATAATTGCAGGAAAAAAATAACAGCTTTCATATAAGTTTCAGTTTTTCCAAAATAACTGATGCAACCAACATACAATATTGTTCTTTTGTTTTAAATTTTGTAGGTAAACCAGCCGACTACATCAATGTAGGTGATTCGAAAAATGACTGCAGGTCTGGAAAAAGGGCAGTAACACTTGATGATTTTGAGCTGCCAGAGAACGTCTCATAGATTGTTAAGTTCGGCGAGGTTAATGAAGATGAAACAACCGATGTGCATCAAGGAAGAACAAGAGTTCCTGGAAAGCATGCCAGATCCCCTTTTCTCCCTTATTTCAGTTCTGGGGGAAGCACTTCTGTTAGACGTCCTCCAATTTTTAACATCAAGCATCCATTTACTGGGGTTATTGGCGACAATATTGATCCTGACTTGTTAGAGGAATTCAATAAGTGTTTATATTTAGGTACCGACACGGTTTCAAAGAGGTTAGATTATGTAATTTTTTCATATTATCGAGTGCATACAATTTATGGATTTCCAATTGAAACTACATAATAATTGTACTTGATATGTCTTTAAATATGAGGAAGGTGCCTTATACTTTAAAAGATAACCAACTCAAGCCGTGGTTTGATCTTGGAGCGGAGAAAGTTGATAAAAGGGACTAATTTTATACTTTGGCACATCCCGAAAAAGTCCTCAACAACACGGTACACACATACCCTGGCATAATTTAATGATTAGTTGTAGTATTCTGTTATTTTAGAAATCTGTAGATTTTTTGTTTGAAAATTGTAGTTAAATTGTATGAAGCATTGAGAAATAATGAAATCTATTTTTTTTTGCAGCACATTGATGTTATGTTATACTATTTGAGGAAGAGAGGAAAGTATGGTCCTGAAAACAAAACATAGTTTACAACTACTAACTGTATGTTCAAGACTAGAATTGAACAAATTTATGAGAGGTACATTAATGCTCTTGCCGATAAGAAACTTGATGTTGTCAAACCCCAGGACGTCATATCAGAATACATATTGGGGTATCGATTACTTGCAAATGTTGCATGGGATAAAGTTAATTTTGTGATTATGCCCATAAACATTGTGGAGAAATTTCATTGGTTGTTGGCTGTGTTTGACATTACCGATAAGGTTCTATATGTTTATGATTCTATGGTCTCTTCATGAAATCACAAATTTGTTGAATCTATTGTCGACAAGTTTGCTATTATGATCCCCCTCTACAAGTCATTCACCAGCTTCTATAGCAAGCGTCCAGACATCAACTACAAGAACACAAAGGCATACATTGAAAAAGGTGTTACTGACCCTCTTGACATTCAGTGGTTGGTCGGTGAGATACCCCAGCAAAAAGAGGGATCACTGTATGTGTTGCTTTTCCTTCTATCTATTTAACCAATTTTATTTTACATTGAATGCTATATATTTTCCCCTGTTATTTTTTGCAGTGACTGCGGTATATACGTGGCGGCATTTGCAGAATATGTCAGCATTGGAGAGCTATCGATTTCAAAGGAAGACCTTTCTGATATTGATCAACATCGTAGACGCTATGGAGCTCTCATTTGGGATTATGCTAGGAAAAGGCAAAAGCTTGGTGCAATTAGTGAAAGTGAGGTGACTGACAGATTAGCAAGAAGAAAAGGTGCACCAGCTCTGAACGAGAGAACACAAGTACGGAAAAAGCAGAATTAGTTGCCCTTTTCAGTAGAAAAATTGTAGTTAAAGTATTTAGTTGTAGCTAGATTGTAGTAAAGTTGTAGACAAATTATTTATTAAGAACAAGTCAGCTGCAATTTATTTGTAGCAGAGATTTGTGCTACAATTGTTTTACCTTTTGTTTTGTTATTTTGTCCAAAATTCTACTACTTAGAATAGAAAACATATGTGGCTTTTTTTTTTGTTGAAAGTTGTTAGTACTTGATCTCGATATTGGTACTATATAAGTTCTTTACAACATAACTACAATTATGTCTACAACTACTATACAAAAATACATAATCTATTCAATTTAAGCAGTGTTGTTAGGAAAGGCTGAAAAGTAATAAATAAATACAGTATTTGAACATAACAACTACAAACCAATTGTATTAAGAGTTTAAATCTATTTATCAAACATTCATTATAGGAGACAATCTTTATTAAAATTAGCAACACAATTATACCACAATTATAATTCTCCAGAACAGAACAAATACATTTTCATATGTCTTAAAGGACAGATTATCATCAACAGTACTCAGTAAAAAAAATCTTTAAACTATATCAATTTTTATTTTCTTTTGGGAGCATTCCTACAAGATCTTTTGTTATGCCCTTCTAGTCCGCAGTTGCCACATGAAACCTTGTACTTCTTTGTATTTACTTCATCATATGGTTTGTATCTTTGTTTCTGTGGCTGCCTTTTCCTAGTAGGTGGCATTACAACTTCTTTCGCTATATGTTATGGCATATTCCATTTGCTTTCATCAGATAGCAGGTCTACTGGTATTTCATAAGTTTGCAGAAGGCTCTCCCTCGTGTAATAAGGAGAACAATAATTTTCATAAGACTCGTTCTTGTGCCTCAAAGCTGCCAAAGCATGTGGACAGGGAAGTTCATCAAGCTGGAATTGTCCACAACTACATCTCTTATTTTGAAGGCAAACAATGAAGCGCTTCACACCATCTATCACAGTATGGATGTAATCTATTGAAGCCCTTACCTACAATTTCATTACAAACACACAACAAGTTGGCAGCAATAGATACAAAATAAAATAACTACAATTATACAATAATATTTCTGCAATTATCAGTATATATTTAGTTTGATGGAATTAATGATCTGATGTTATTGGCTATAACTTACTCTCATCTTCTGCGATAATGTCTCGTTGTCCTCCAAATCTTTGTTGTATTTTTTCCAAGGTATGTGAACGTACCCTTTGTATTCAATAACTTTTCATTAGTCCAACGTTCAAGAAGAGTTCTCATGCACTCTAATAGTTCTACTACGGGTAGCTCTCTTGCATCTTTGATTACCGTATTTAGGGACTCTGCAATGTTTGATGTCATCGTCCACATTCTTTTCACCGTAGCATGTAGCTGAGACCATCTGTGATAGCCAATATCGTATAAGTATGCTTTAACACGTGTGTCGATCTCTATATTCTTTCATTAAATTCATCAAAACGTGTATGATCGTGCCTTGGAAAAGTACAATTCGCTTAACTTTAGATGACCCTTCTTAAACTTTGACCTTACATTTGTCCAAATAAGCCACATGCAAGCATAATGTGGCATGCCGGTATAAACAGTAAATTTTACCTTCAAGATACTCTCATTCCAGTTCGAAACAACACACATATTTAATTTTTCACCATATGCATGTTTGAATTGCTCAAAATACCACCTCCATGATGCGTCATTTTCTGAATCAACAATAGCGTATGCTAGTGGTAATATGCTACCTATAACTGGCATATGCTAGTGGTAATATGCTATCTATAATATAGGTAGCAAAAAAAATTCAATTTATGTAATAAAACTTTAAAATATAAAAAATACAGTATCAAAAACAACTTTATAACAATATTTTTACAATTAACCTACATTACCTGTTGCATCCATCGTGCTAGCTATTAGCATAATTCCCTTATATGCCGACTTCAAGAAGGTGCCATCAACTACTACAAATGGCCTACAATGCTCCCAACCCTTGATAGACGTACTAAGTGTAACAAATGCATACAAGAAACAGTCATCTTCAGTCTTCTAAAATTTCACTACCGACCTCGGATAAGTCTTCTCCAGAATATACAAATAACTCGGCAAGCGACCGTAGGAATCAGAAGGATGACCTCTCAAAAATTCCAAAGCCTTTTCCTTTTCTCTCCAAGCTTGCATATATGTTAAGTTCACACTATGATCCGACAACATGTCTGTTTGTATGTCTTTTGGTGTGTATATTGTCTTAGGATCCGCATATTTTGGCATCACTATGCTGCCAACTACCATGGCAGTAGGTTTGCGTTGTATATTTGTGTTGTCCATCAAAGAACATATGTGCAAGCTGTTGAATTTTTGAACCTTGAACAATGCCGATTTATTTATGCTGGTGGACTTGAAGTGCCACGTACAATTATTCCCAACACATAAGAGGCAGTAGCTACAGAATAAAAATAATTCAAAAAATATTATGCAAATTGTAGCTACAGAATACAAGGCTATTTATGCACAATAACTTGTCTTAAACAATTTATGTACAAAAAAACTACAACTTATACACAATATGAATTTGACAAATAAAATATTCCTACCTTTTTGCACTAGATCTTTTTACCCTAAATTGAAACTTATTCATGACAGAATAGTACTTCATTGCAGTGAAAATTATTTGTTTGTCTTGGTAAACTTGGCCTACTTCAATTACATTTGGCGTATGTGTCTGTTATGATGATACTTTCATATTCCACAATTGCCGGAGATGTTTGCATAGAAATCAACTTCATTGTTCCTGATACTTCTCCAATTGTATTACAATTGCTTGATAATTGTACCATGTTAGTATTACGATAATAAGATTAACCTGCACTCAATTAAAAATATAGTAATTCAGATGTCTGTATATTCATGTGTTCAGTATTTGATAAAATACTTGTAAAGACATAACAGTTGAACTACATTTGTTATGTAGTATTATTGTAGATAATTTGCGGTAAAATTGTAGAACACTTGAAATTGAAAAATATCAGCATTGAAAAAATAGAGCAAACCTGCAATTGTGCTCGCATTCGACATACTGCATTCCAAATCGAAATCACACACTGTTATACACAGCGGATACATTCCTAAGTTTTTGTTTTCCTTTTTCGTCTCCACATACACTCGAACTCCCATACCATTCCGAATTTCCATTGGAGGACAACGTCGTTGACAGTGTGTTTGATTTCGATGATTTTTGTGGAGGTATCGTGTGAGACCCGAGGTGTTTCTCTCTTTTCTTATGTAATATACGTAACGTGGGGTGGTTATATTAGGTATATATGATTGGGTATAGCACATTGAGAGAATAAGACTGAAAATGTGTGGTAATATCAAAGAACTAAAAGGAATCCCTTAAACAAAGGTTCATGGTTAAAGAAATAGCTCGGGTAGCACCCCGTGCGTTTGGAAGGTTTAAGTTAACTTGCACTTATGGGATAAGACTAAGAGTGTATAATATGCTAAGAATAATGTGTTATGAGGTATTATAATATCACACTGGTCACATGTTAAGTTTTGGAGTCAAGCAAGTTGCGAAATAAAGGTCGGCAAAAGTTATCGTAAATTTCTCTAATAAATTTTCTAAACTTTAGGTCAAATGTATCAGATCATTTCTCCCAATATATAAAGAGTTATGGGACCCACAACCTACCAAATCGAAGTTCTACGAGTCTAGTTTGCAACCAAAGAAATCTCACATCAAACCGACATTGGAGTAAACAGTTATTACTATTTTACCGCGGACTGTCCAGGCTGAAATCGGGTCGCGAACAGGGTCGGGTCAAACAAGTGGTATAAGTCGGAAAATCCGACTTTTAAGACCCCAAAATATTTCATCTTCATTCCAAAACAGTGAGAAAGCTTAAGAGAGGGTTTTATGGTGTTCTTGAGTGATTAAGGTGCGTTTTTAACGATTTCTATCGTTAAAGTTTGCCCC